GTGCTATGCCCAACTGTTCTCCTTTCTGTTTCTTCTTAGACTATATATTGAAACCCAGAGAGCAAGGGCTGGGGTTGTTAATCCCTTCCTCTCTTTGTGTTACTCACCATGATGCCTGCTATGGTGATCTAAAACTAAATTTGGTAGAAATAGTTCTCAGCTTCCCTCTTCACTATATAAAGTAGGATGGAATGGGAAGTACTATTGATTGGAGTGTTGTCTGCACAGATGAGATCTATGTACTCCCAGGGTAGAGTTGCTGCAGAATCCTATGAAGGGAGTTCTGGCATCTGGGACTTAGGTCTAATCAGGCCTAGGAACCTTGTTCAGTGGTATTTGCTTTGGAAAGAATAGATCAACACACCTCTAGGGCCAGGCAGATCTAATCTTCTAGGAGTCTGGATCTCATTATTCACTGGTCAGGGGAACCAGTCCTCCACCCTCTCTGGTGCCCAGTAACACAGTCTTCCCAGGCTTAGTCCCTGAGAGTATTCACAYTTGCCTCTTTGATTTCTCCACCCTCTTCAGCTGGTCACATGAGCTGCCAGACTCAATGGAAASTGAGTTGCACTCCCCTTTGTTTTTTGACTTGAATCCCCTGGGTACAGTCTTCTCTCTATCTGTTTCACTGGCATTCTGCTAGGTACACCCTAGGCTACATGTTAGATGCTTGTCCAGACAGTATGGCAATGTTTGCTCTGATCTCCCAGCTCCTTTAGCAGCAAGCTACAGCATGGCCTTCTTAAGATGGCTTCCACTTGATCTCTGCTTGCCAGTTGAGAAATATATAGCACTTAYAAACACCAGTCATTCTGCATCATGTGAATAAGTTAAGTTCAGGTTGCTTTTCTGATCCATAAGTTTTTCCATCCCAAATCAGGCTTTTGTGCTTCTCTGTGTTATCCCTCCTCTCTGTGGTGAACGATTGCTAYTGATGCTTCAGCAACCAGCTTGGCTCCAGTGTACTCTTTCTTGTTCTTTATTCAATGCACCCAAATTTATGAATCTCTAAGACACTCTGTCTAATATTGAATTTTAGTGTATTCCCTCTTTCACCCACCTAAATGAGAAGCAGTATTCCCACTGTTTGAATCTAGAGTCATGGAGTAACTGAAAATGCAGCCTTCCTCTGATCTGCCATCTTGAATTTCCTGTAGGTTTCTCTAATCAAGAAAACAGTATTTCCTATTCAACTCCATAATAAATAAAAATAGTCAGTGGACTGGGCTGACTTGTAGGTTCCCACTTAAAATTATGCAGTGCCTACATATGAAACTGGAAAGATTTTAATGTCTTAATAAGAACAATAATGTGTTTAGTAGGTAACCTCTTATTTCATTTAGAGACTAATGGTTCCTTTAAAAAAAAGTTATTTAAATAGATAGCCCCTTTTTTCTATTTCATTGCTGACCCTTTCTAACACAGCTCTTAAGGGACCATTTCTTTGGCTTCTTAAGGTGTATTCTGCTCTTGTATTRTTCATTTTAATGTTTTCAGGTAACTGAATGAGCAAGTTAGTATTGAATACTTTGGATTAAATTTAAAATATTTTCCTCTTCTCATTTTAATTTACAATTTTTATGTTTATGATGTTTCTGGAATAAATTTTTTTATAATATAAAGCAGTTATTGAGTTTTGAGTCATGGTTTAGCTGTGGATGTATATGGTATCTCATCACTAAGGTTCTGGCATACCAAAACTAGTTGCAGTACTTTTAAAAATCTAAACTATTACTTAGAAAATTAGATACACATTTTATTTTTGCCTGTATAATTTGATTTAATCCAACATGTTATTAGTTTTAGTAAATATTAGACTTTGATTTAAGGAATAATCATTAAGATAAAAAGCACTCATTTAAGAAATAAACAAGATATAAATTACAAAGACTATATTTCAGAAGAATACACTCAAATTTATATATTATCTTCCCTTAAATTATCTAGACCTTAAAAATTCAGGAAAGTATTTATTATCAGAATTTTTAAAATGTGCCYATTTATTTTCTTTTTTGAACCATGAAGATTTGCAGCATGGAGTCTTCTGTGCTTCGTTCAAGTTTGACAGTACTATATTGGACAAATTTGCATAATGACAATTCTTCACTAAGGCAGGATAGTAATTTACTATTTATTTTTAAACTATAACACATGGATTATAAATTTTACATATGGAGTACTATTGAATAATTCTGAGTTCCTTGAATGATTTAGTTCTTAGGACTTATCTCCAGAAATAGAAAAGGAATAACTTAAGAAAATAAGCTAAATATTCATAAGTCATTTGGAATTTCTCTTTATTAAGTTTTCTGTACAAAAAAACATAACATAGTAAATTTGGAACATCATAAAGCCTTCTCAACCTTTATATGGCTCAGTCTTTTTTAGTTTACTTTTCTGTGAAGCACAGTTATCATTTTATCTTTCTAAATCATAGTATTAGTAATCCAAATTTATATTAGACTTTTAAAGTGGTTTAGCAAAATGGTAATGACTTTGTATGTGGAAAGTTAATTTTAAGTAAGTTGATGAGTTATCTGAGTATCTAGTCCATTGGAGTTTTTTTAAAAAATCAAATAAGGAAACCATTTGTTGATTGTTTGATGGATTGATATGGTGCTAGAGATCAAATCCAGGACCCTGAGCATGCTATGCAAGTASTCTACTATTGAGGAGTATCCTTAGCCTGAAAAAATGTGAATGTAAACTAAAGAACCTCTTTCTAAAACTCTTTACTAAATAAAGTTAATTAAAAGAAAGTTAGTCTTCACAGTGTATTGAGTATGAAGTCATGGATTGATCAACCAGTTTCTGATTTTCCTTATTTCATATTTTTTAACTGTGTTTAGATGTGAAAACAATTTGATATTAAATTCTAAGGTATTATTAGTGAACAGATGAATTACAAATTGAATTAATACAATAGAAGTATGATTTTTCTCTTAAAATTTGAAAGTGTTATCAGGAAGAATTGAAAAATCATAATTCATTTTTTAAAAATTTTAAAAACTGAAAATTCAAAATTCAGTGAATCCCTGATTAATCAGTTATTAATGTTTTCATTTCTATTTCTTCCCACACTAGGCTTTCTCTCCTT